TCCCACAGGTATGATAGAGACCACTGAGCCAGTGTCTATTAAGGCCTTGACTGGGATACCAAAGATTTTTACATCGTATGTGCATGGCTGACCCATTGCTAGCGGTTGGGTGCTATTCGACCTCTTCCGGACGGTTTTACACCATCCTTCCAGTTCACTAGACAGGGAAATACCGCCTGGTCTCTCCGTTATTGCGTCGACCATAATCACGTCCACGTTGAAATGGGCGTTTGGGCTTCTCTCTTTTCCTACAATCTGCTGCTAAATGCCCCTCTTTATCACAAATATAACACTTGTGTAAGGGCCTCGCAACCAACTGACTTCCGGTCTGCTGACCTGCCCCTTTCTCAAAGGATTTCTGAGACTCTATCTCTTTTCGTTCTATGTCCGACCGCGGTAGCTACTTGAGAGATGGCTTGCTGAATCAAACTGCAGCTTTTCCAAACGCGTGGCTACTTTCTTAACTTCCTCATAAACTTGTCCCTCTGGCGCATCCAATGCCTCCAGCATGTAATAGGAGTTCTGCCAATGCTGCAGGCAAGAGTACAGCTTCGATCCCCTTATGAAGTCCCACTCAGTGCTAGGATGGATCCTCCTAGACAGGTCCTCCATTCGACAGCAGAAGTCGACAACTGATTCATTGGACTTTTTCGAGAGGTGTTCCCACTCTCTCACGTTCCTCAGTTGTTCACAAGGATTCCTACGGGCTGCCTTCAAGGCACTTACTACCCCTTCGTAGGTCCCTTCCCTGACCCCAGGCGGCAATCCTTTGAAGATTGATAGGGCTGTACCCTCCAAATGGTTCACAAGTATATCTCGCCTGTCCGCATTAGTCCACACCGCTGGAGGGAACTTTATTTCTAATGCGCGCAAGAATTCCATCAGGGAGTTTTTGCCGTTATACTTAGTAACGTTAGCCACGCTCTGGGCTTTAAAAACTTCCCGGAATACCGTGAACATATCATGGACCCTATTATCGCTAACGGGTTCTGCTCCCATATTATAAGACGCAACCGAAGTGGACTCACCACTCATCGTGCTTTGGGAAGACGGTCGTGAGGATTGACGCGACGATGCTCGGGATGGCGCGGTCCATTCCTGCGGTGGCCCACCTCTCGTGTCGGGGAAGACGTTCAAATCCACCTGAACGGAACCGTTAAATTTTCCGTCTTTTAAGGACTTGTAGTGGCTGCGTATCGCACGCCAGTTATCAGTTTTGTCCGAGTTCTCACCTGATCCGTGAGCTGTAGCACTGCTATTTCCAGCTATTGTGCCGTAGATATCCTTGCCACCTGATCCTGCAACTGTCTCAATTGATTCTCTAGATCGACAATCTTATTATTCTGATTGATTTCGTGCAGCTTAGCAGCTGCCAGGTCTTCTTGTAGTTCCGAAATGATGTCACATTTGCTCTTAACCATTTCGGAAACTTCACCTATTTCGCAACCCAAACTTGCGGCTATTTCGCAAAGTGTGCTGCTATGACCGCTAACTGTCGGTAAGAACTCGCGCAGTTCTGTCTGCGTCATCTGCAGCTCATCCAAAATTGATGCTTCGTTCGCTGGCGCACCTAACTCCTAGGTTTTCATTAACCTTAATGACTGCGCATTGGAGCGAACCTCGAACGACTTCCAAAATATTTCGCCGCTTTATGGCAGAAATATGCCTAATTTGGTCGCTTAGGACATCATCTAGGCGCTCCAAGACGTTGCGAAATGCCGCATTCAACTCCTCAGTTGAACAACTTACATTAAGTTGGTTCCAGTCGCTGAGGGCCTGCGTTGCAGTCGTATAA